TCTAAACAATCGGGGTGCATGAAAACACTGTGAACTTGTAGGCAAAATATCCCTTATCTGGCCAGCATTGTGTCTATTGTTCAATMTAASTCCATCATTTGGTATCAGATGATAWCTTGGATGKTTTTAACACCTAGATTCTTTCTGGAGATAAAAATCTAATTCTAAGTTTTATGGAATGGCCATCTCTCACGCAAAGCTATATAGAGAGGTTTTGCTTTCACCGTGGAAGAATATAGTAAGGCAGAGCGAAGTCAAAAACCTGTGGAATAGATAATATACTAATACAACTTAGTATGCCTTTTAAGGCATACAATTGCAGTTTTTTGGTATAATATTGGTGCGTGAATCTTTTATGTCTGTATAAGYTTTCGCCTAACCWTTTCATTTTTGCRTAAAAGCTTSGTCTACGCACGCGTRTKYATGCCTTCAAGAAAGACAGAGCAACATTGACTAGGTGTCCATCCCCATTCCCAAGAAGATATGAATTAATTGATACTTCATCTACAAAACATTAGTTTCCTTGACGAAGGATAACCATTCTTAAGATCTAAATTTGATGATTTTATTTCCCATAAAGGTCGGACGCGAATATTCCATATTGCTTATCAAATTCCACTATAAGAGCTAAAGCATATTTTAAAAAACCTCGAGGTAAAATTTTTAAGAGAAAATCGAAGTTAAAGTCGTATGCAAGTCAGGACAAATCTATTGCTCATATTGCTCCATTGTTTTTACCTTATGAATTATTAATAAATTCAGTGATAATTGGGATATATTTTGGCTGGTTGATCGTTTTTCATGCAATGCAATTCATTCTCTGAATAACTTAAAGGTGCTTGAAAACATTGTATTTTTATTTTCATTTTATTGGTCATGAGAAAAAGCAAACATACTTCTTTTGAACATTTTTCTCTTGGCAACCTTTAAAAAGGTATTTTTATCTTTGAGTGCAGACTTAGCTTTTGGATTTTTATTGTCAATATAGCTAATAAATTAAATTATACGTAACTTCTTAACTTATGTTTCAAAATGGCAAATCTTGAACGTAACGAATGTGATGCAAATGAAATATGGTGAAGACCACAAACAAAAGATTGAGGTCGTTTCAGTTTAATTTCGCACATGTGAAATTCGGAGTTTGAAACGAGTTTTAGTAACCAAACGACGTGTCAGTTTTAAGACATGTACTAAAAACGTCGAACTCGATTCTTGTCACTCAGAATTATACTTTTTTTAGTTGTTTTAACATGGGAAAGTCATATTGATTAGGAGCATTATTGTAGTGAGTTCCGCGCTTCTGACATCGCTGCAGACTTAACTTCAAGCGTTGAGCTCTTGCAATTCGTCCAGAAAGGAAACTTGAAACTGTGATAATTTGCATAGAGGCGGATGAATGAAGTTTTCAACCAAATAAAGGTAAAATATTTACATTTTGGATGGGCTTTTATACCCTGAATATCATCTGTGAATATTATCCCATCTCATTTACAATGATGTTATGTTATGCAAATCAAAAATGTCTATTTCTTTCATCTTTTTTTCTTTCGTCAAAACATTCTTTCTCAGGTAGCAACCATCATCTTTTTCTGTCATATAAAAATCTTCAAGTTGTCTTCTCTGACACAGTGTTATCCCGTCGAACAGTCCCAGTTGTATATCTTCAGACGCTTCGCAATGCCAGTTTCTGGATGAAACAATGAAACATCAAGCTAAGATGTTTTTCAAACTTGCTGTGATGTTGGGCCTGCTTTCTACTGCACCATGCTTGTCTTTGCCGAAGAAATCAKKGGTAAGCAGATTATTGTTGAGATAAAAGTAAACTTATACTTCTTGTTTAATTGTTTCCATTGTCAACTTCTATTAGGGCTACTAGTTCATACATCGAACTTTCTTCGAAACACTTAATTCTGTCCAAATTTCTTTTTATAATCATTTTTTTACTGAACTTGCATAGGCAAATTGTTTAGTGTCAAATCGTAGGTCAAGATAAAAAGTATGTGTTGTTAGAATTATGGTTTCAGCTCGGTCATAAATTTGCGAAAATTGGAAGTGTTCAAAGTTGTATTTGAGTGTCTCTCCTTGTGCAATTGACCTCAAAACAATGAGTTCCGCACGCCAAACAATAGCAATTATTTCTGAACGACAAGACTATGATGTTTCTGTCGTAGAAAGTATCAAATTAWTTTTAATTGCTTATTAAAGAGTGCCTATTATTTGGTGTTTGTTTCTGAGAAATTTTAAATATCATGAAATCTCATCATTGCTTGTTCACACAGGTTGACTAAACAGAAATACTGTACTGTACTCTTTTTAAAAGTCATTCAAAAAAACGTTGTCGGAAAAAAATATATTGTCAATTGCCAAACTGCGAAAGCACGACCGAAAGGAGTTATGGGTTTTGCTAATTTTTGGGAAAAAGATTTTAGTTATATCCGTATGCATACTAATTTCTATCTAGTATTATGGCGGTTTTTCTACCTGAGTGACCACACTGATGCAAAAGGCCTATTAGGCGCCGTCCACACGACTTCAGAGAGTTTTGTTTCTGGAAATTTCTTTGTCCGGATATGAAAATGYAATATGCGTTTACACGTAGCGAATGCAAATATTAAATGACAGTGCACAGCTAGCGTCTCATGAGATTTCTGTATGCYGGGGACACGTGTGARCGACAGCGGTRCCCAAATGAAKMCATTTGTGTGCATGGGTCCTTATAAACCTTGTATTTGAAGTCAAGGAAGCTTCCTTTGAGGAACAATATACAAAAAAGTATATATGATCTTGGGATTGATTCACAGCATATCGTTACATACACTAATTTCAAAAAACCTTGTCGGACCTTGTCGGGGATAACGGCGCACGGCAATTCAGGATTTCATGACCTATGTAGGGACTATGGTTGCCCAGTATTACTTACAAAATTTTACTTTCTGTGTTCACCTTGCTCATTGAAAATGAAGCCAGTGTTTAACACAGACTATTTTAAAATAGTCTCCTTCACGGTTACGTGCGCCATCTTGAAAGGTAGCCGTGCCTTTACATCGAAGCGAGACAACCGTTGAGCGTGCAATGATAGAAACCTGTGAATAATTGTCTGTAGGTGTGAAAGGTTTCTATCATTGCACGCTCAAAGGTCGTCTCGCTTAGATGCAAAAGCACGTCTACCTTTCAAAATGGATCGGAGCAGGTAACCGGGAAAAGGATTATATTCAGTTTGTATTTTTAGCAAAATACCTTCTTTTAAAATTAAAATTGTTCTCATCCAGTATGACCGATTACGTACCGTGTGACCGACAACGCATGCTCCAGTCTTAGCGTATGTGTTTCGGAATTCACCTATCCCACATGCCTYAGTCCATCTACTCATGGCCTATATATATCTGAAGGTCATTTTTTTTACAGTTCATCACAGCATGCAGCACGGATACAGAATGTAAACATTACGAATGCTGCGATCATTCATTTGATCCTCATACTGGTTACTGTAAGCCTCAACTCGAACTTGGAGCATATTGTGTAAGTATATGTGCCAAAACGGAGAGAGAACGGGATTCACTTCTTGTTTAACAACGAAAAAACCTCATCGCAGTTTGTTCACTCCGCCATCTWGAAAGCTCACAGTGCATTTTCCYCGAAGCAAGRCAAACAGCGAGATTGCAGCATAGGAATACAATATTGACCGTTTTCAACCGTTCCCATGAGATTCAAAAGACAAAAGAAGGCGGCCATGTTGGAGGAATGAACAATAGATACTAATGAGAAATCCTAAATTTTCTCCAAGATGGTTGCTGTGACGTATAATTGAAACCTAAGAACCCCAGTGAATGGTTGTACTAAAGCGAATGCAGGAAAACCATGAAATAAAAACAGAGTAAATACTAACAACTAGCGGCTATTTAGAGACAATTTATAGRTGTCAATGAACCCGAACGCAATATATTATCGATACGAATATATTCTTTGTCGCACAATAGATTGATCCTCGGGGGGTTGGGGGGTACTCGACCCCGTTTTGGATAGGTTCAAGACACTAAAAAGTAAAAATCCATACCCTGTTCAAGACAAATCGGAAAAATAAGGAATAGCTATCTDCGCCGCAACCATCAAAACTGCAATTATACTGACATCCATCAAAGACAATAAGAAGTTTTTGATAACACGTTAATCCTGGGACAGTGAAACGGTATTTCTACTAATTCTACGGTGTGTTTTATGAAAATATTATCCTGTCCAAGACACACACAAAAATTATATCAGTATTTTATCTAAATTGTAGAGCCTGTTTAAGACAATTTCGGGTGAAATGTATACCCTGTTTAAGACAGCAAGGCCAAAATCCATACCCTGGCCAGCGAAACGTCCCCGTATAGCAAATATATGGGAGAACCCCTCATGATCTCAGACATGTGGATTAGTCTTGATTGCGTTCTGGTTTATCGATACTGACAAATTTTCACTAGATAGCCGCTATTTGTTAGTACATAGATTGGTTTTATTTCATTATTTTCTTAAAGAGCATATGACATGGTAAACTTTTTTTTCCTGTTTCTAGTAGTTCAATATATATGTATCAAAGTTTGATAAGTCAAACTGTCATGTTTGGACTATAAACCATATTTTTTTCGGCCTAAACTGCTAAAGATGGCAAATTTGCTAAAAAAAAGTGTCCCCATCATCGCGCGGCCAAATGGTCACGTGATCATGTTTGTGACGTAAAAGTGTATACACGTCCTGAGAGTAGTTACAAAAAACATGGCGGATACTTGCAACAAGACTGTCTTGTTTATTAATGAATTGAAATCTTCATGCTGTGTTATGCACTTTATTCTTTCTATCGAGCCGTCAAAGACCAGCTTTCCTACTGCATTGATTACTTCGTGGCAGCATCTAAATTCTAGAGCGTCAGATAAGCGTTCCTTTCGACATTGTTGACATCGACACCTAAATACAAAACGAGCAAAAAAGCATAAGTTAGATGCCACTANCTTGATTGTTCTTGTAAAAATGAAGCTTGAATTTGAAAATAATAGGAAGATAATCTTAAAATCGCGTGTTGTATACTCAGCTGAATGTTTACTAAAAGCACGTGTCTCATGGGAATGGCGCGCAGCGAACATTATGAACAGCCTGAAACGGCTGTAGCCAATCAGAGTGCGACATTCGCCTTTAATATATTCAGTTGCCAGTCCATTTCTTCCCACGTCCCTGGGTCGATTGACATATATCAGAGCCGTACTCTAGTCTGATCGATACTAGAGCAACAGACGACAGAGGACTTTATGAAGGAGTGTATTGCACTTTCTTCATTACCAGAGAAAAAGGAAACGCGCCGTTTTGGTTGGAGTGGAATGAAACGTCTTTTAACTACACTTTAGACGATCTACATGAAATATTAAGAAATACAAGCAGTATCAGCAAAGTCTTTACGAGCTGAAACGCGGCTTATCTAAGAGAAAATATGCTAGTAGATAGAAGAGCAAGTTGTGTCAACCAATGCAAAGAAAAGCTTATCAACGTTTTTATCAATGAAAACGTCGCCTTGAAAAAGACAGTTGAAGTACCATTGAGGAAAACTCCTCGTATTTGCAACAGTCGAAAAGATATCATCAGTCAAGCAACAAAAGTGGAACTTCGCTCTCGCTTTGCAAGCAAATCTAACACCGTGGAATTATATCAGTTTGATCCAAACTTTTTCTCTGTTGAAAACATATGGTGCAGATATCCTGGTTGTAAACAAAGCAGACTCAGACAGGTTGGATCAAAGAAAGAAGATCTTTATCTTTGTCCAGGTCACATGAGAGATCTTGAAGATAAACTGATTAAGATGTTTAAGTTAAAAGGTGTTGATGTTCCCATGGATGAAAGCCATGAAGAACTTAAAGATTACACATCACTGATTGGTATCCTAGAGAGAGCTTGTCAATCACATACCATTAAATCTGCATTCAGCGAAAGAAGTCCAATGATCCGAGAAGTGTGCCTAAATATGCGAAATGTGTTAATCATCATAAATGCTTTGTTAAATCCTGATCCTGACAACACTACCGTATCCCTAAAATTCATTCTCCAGCTTGTTCTCAAATTGCTGAAAGATGATAGCATAAATGATGTAGATTTAGAGAAGCTAGTTGCTCACCTTCGCGCCGTCATCGAAGAAATTTTTCAAGCATTTGGTATCATCTACCTCTGGATTGAAAGGAACAAGTTTGGCCTGAGTGCCGGAACTCGACTGGGAGTTGGTATTGGTGGTTTTTTGGGGATGGCTGGAATCATTGGAGGTCCTGTCACTTTTGGCATAACTACAATGGCAGGAGCCGTTTTTGGTGGGTTCATAGGCAGTGGTTTATACGATCTCTTGGCCAAAGAAGAGCGTGACAATTCTGTGGACGAATTAAATGAGATAATTCGTAGATATCAGGAATTTGCTAAAACCATGGATAGTACCCATAGTACTGCAGTGTACGTCGTAAGTGGACGAGAAGACGGCGAGTTAAATTTTCATGTTGTATGTTATTAGCCGCAATTTCGCTTGATGCAAACGACTCCGAGTGTAATGGCACTAGGTATGTAGAGGGTTGGAAAGTGCTTGTTGTGAATGTTTTTAAACATTAAAAATTAATTAAAATTGGACATTCTCTAAACTAAATCGAGTTTTAAAAACTCTGAAGATAGAATGTATATATAATCTGACTAATTTACATTGTGCGTTCTTTTTTATATTCTCTATAATTGAATTACGTAAAAATCGTCAAGATAAACTTGTGTTGTGTTATTAGCAACGAGATAAAAAAAGAATATTTCACTACCACGAGACTTTTACAAAAATAATTTCCTTCATCATTAATATACGATATATAGGCCTACTCCGGGTCAGAAAGTCACCTTAAGATGCCTTAAGACGCCTTAAGACGCCGTCAGTCGCCTTAGGCTGCTTTAAGTATAGAAGGAAATAATAACTTAATTTGCATGATAAGGCCAATTGGTATCATTTTCTGTAATTATTTGTGTACTTTTGATGAAAAGAGGTCATTTGCAGAATGATTGACTATTTTTGCCCAAAGGGAATTTTAATTCCCTTTGGAATAAAACTCCCACTCAAAGTGCAGTACATAAATTTTTAAGTTACATACTTTCCACATAATAACTCATGCAGAAATATGCAGAAATTAGATATTTTTCACTCATATTTCAAGTATATATTAAATATATCAGAAATTATGAGATATCATTGCTGATATATTTTTCAAGTTGCCTTACACTAGTACTTTCTGAAAAAAATATTGGTGATGAGATCCAATAATTTCTGATATATTTTATATACTTGAAATATGAGTGAAAACGATCACAATTTCTGCATATTGCTGTAATTTTCTTTATGTAGTCTCATACATTTAACCAATCACAATCAATAAATTGCATAAATTTGAAAAAAAGAATTATTGTGGATAAGTAACTAAACTGGCAAAAGGAATGGTTTGAAGACAAAACTTGTTGACATTTTTGTGTTTCAAGTTGAAACACAAAAAAATAATTATTTGGTCTTTCATCAGTTTGCTGTTTTGTAATTCTTGCATGTAAGCTTATAAAATTGTACAGTATTCACTATCAATGCACAGTTTGTTGGTTTATTTTTTGTAATATTCAGGTATTGAAGATTATATGCAGATCAAGGAGACCAATAAGCTTATATAATAATTATGATTAGTTTTTAAAACTTTGACATAATCTGGATTTGTGCTGGATTTGTGCTTAGCTACTGAGACTACTGAGTTTAATTAGTTTTCTAGTATTCTTACCGACTCTCCTGTTCGCAGTTTCATTTACCATTCATCTTTTTCTTGTACGTAAATGTTGTAACAGCAAAAGGAAATCCGTTTCTACTATAAAACGATCAACAACCACCACGACCGCCATTTTGAATAACTCGTTCTAAGTTTTCCTCGACCACAGGGAACCCAAACCTGATTGACTTTCATTGTCGGATTACACAAAATCTATAGTTCATGTATTAAACTTATAGTTCACTGATGTTGGATCGATACCAGAGCAAAACAAATCGAAGTGGAAAAGATTCTGAAATGTCCTGCTTTTCAAGTAAGACTGCATAGTGCATCTTGCAAAAGACTGTCAAAATTTTGATTGCTTGAACGCCTGTGCCGGGATTTTGTTGTTAGTTAGGCTACATCTGCAAGAATTTTGCTAAATAACATTGTCTTTTGTCAAGAAATGGCAAAATTGTAAGTTAATTTAAGTCTACAAGACAGATTCACCGGATTTTATTTTGTATTTGGTACATTATATGGAAAATCGAAAACTGTGCGATTTAGTGCGATTTTACACAAATAGTGCAGAATCGCACCCTCGCACTCTGTCAGATATTTGAGCTTATTTGCAGTAGTTTGTACAATTTAATGGTTGAAGTGACTTTATTATTTTTAATTTTGGCTTTGTTGATCTTGATATGTATTTTTTTGAACAATTTACATAATTTCACTTATAAAGGATATCTCAAAACCAAAAAGTAGATGACTCAAATGTTCTTTGTCTAATAACTATTTTGTTTTTCTAAATGTAAAAGAGACAGTCTTTAATACCAGACTCTAAAGACACTTATAAAGCTTCGCCATATATGTGTCTTTGCAATAAGTAAATAGCATTTTCAAATACTGCACTTATAGAGCACTGACTTCATGCAGTAAAGAGTATATAGTTAACAATCATAGAAAATTTTGTTTGACTACTTGTATTTGTAAGTCAAATTCCACATAAAAAGACACTAATACACATCCAAATAGATCTTAATTATAACCATTGGGTGATGCCCTAAGTCACCAAGGGACCCCATCAAATTATCATCCAAATTTCCTTAAGTCGCCTTAAGACGCCTTAAGCTGCCACAGTGCCCCGCCCAATTTACCCTCATTTTTTCTTAAGTCGCCTTAAGCCGCCTTAAGTTGCGGCGACTTAAGGCGACTTTCTGACCCGGAGTAGGCCTATATATGTGGCAGGGAATGGTTGTCAAAAGGTCAATAGGTAAATTATACTGATACTTAGATGTACTTATAATTTAATAAATTTCAGGGGGTTAGGCGTTATACACTGTGTTAAACTACTACTTTGACAATATCGATGAACGTGCTTGTGAGACAATTATCGATCATATGACTACCTAATGTCTCTAATGTATGAGTGGACGCATTGATTGCATTAACGTTATTGGCTCTTATAAAGGTGATATCATCGAAGCTAACACCGAATAAATGGGATTGTTCTTAGTACTCAGGAATTAAAACAATTTCAGTGACAGTGCCTAAACATTTTTCATGGCATTACTCGTAGAGACGGTCATTTTATTCGGTGCTGGCAATTTCTCTTTTGACATTGAAACACTGCATGTTATATTCATCAATGTTCCTTCGGTCTTAGATATGACGATATTGACTTTTGGAACCCGACAACGTTTTTTTTTTATATAGGTGTATTTGTTATAGACTCTCCAGCATGCTCTGCGGTCGTCCATGAGTATGGTGAGTGAAGAATTCAAGATTTGTAGTGAAAAAATGAACGCCTACAGAATAGCATAAGTCACACAGGACAAAATTGAGGAATTCATACTGTATATTACTTATATAATGTATCATATCAAAGAATTGATAGCAGTCATATATGGTAATCTTACCTTATTTGGAAGTACGATAGGAATGGTTTTTGTCGATTTTCTCGACTTTTAAAGCTTGAAATCGTCTGAAACTTGCAGATATTATAGCGAAAACACTTCTAAACAATCGGCCATTTTGTTTGTTTCCATATATGGCATGGATTCGCTAAAGGAAGCCCAAAACTAAAAAGCACAGGGAACCCGCACGAATGACATACAATTCTTTGATATGTTTCTTTTTCGTGGTTATCAGACATAGGAGTTGCAAAATTAATTCTCTCTTCAGTCGTTTCAAAACGACAAAGCACTTGCAAATGTAATCCTAATAAAATTGTAATGAAGAAATATTGCAAATGCTGTTTTTTTTATTTCATTAAATGATTTTACTTAAATTTGTGAATGTGCTTTATTTAGCATTGAGAAATTAGTCACTAAAAAGTCACTATTTTGTTTGGAAGTCACCCTGCTGCGCATGTGGTCCATACACTCAAGAGCCGGACACATTTACCACAGACCAGTGTAATCGCGATGTTTTCTCAATTTAATGCATTCATAGTGCAATACCGAAATTTTGGTTCTATGGTCATACTCAAAAGAACTGAGCACGAGGTCCAGAGAAATAAAATAATTATCTATTGTTTACCCGGAGCCTCGTCTTCAGTTCTTGGTTAGTGCTATTATGCATCGTTCTTCTGAAAATTAAAGAAAAATCCTCATATTTTTGTCTGACATTTCTTGAGGAAAAAAAGACCAAATACCACGAAACTACTCAATTTCAAGAACCAATACAGACTGCTTTATTTATTGGATATTTTCAAATGATCAGGTTTCATTTCCAGGTCCCCTTTATCCACATCGTCCGACAGGAGGACTGGGAATGAACGTATTGCATGTTAGTCCCGCTTTGCATCTTGGACATCCATTATTCTAAAATAAATTAACATAGATTAGCATTGATTTAGGTAAACCTCTTGCTTATTCAAGCTTTGAACATACACCTACTTGCAGAAACGTTGTCATAGAAAATAGAACATTTGAATTTAGTAAAAAGGAATAAATTAAAACAAGACAAAAGAGAGCGTTCAGCCTCAGTGATCTTCTTTTGTCTTTTTAATTTATTCCTTTTTACTAAAATACAAATGTCCTATTTTTTATGACAACGTTTTCGCAAGTAGGTGTATGTGAATGAAAAAAAGCAAATCAATATAATCCGAAAAAGAATGTCTCACAAGGTTTTCGGCGGCAATTTTGGTTACATGAAAACACTAGAAGATTAAGAGAAAACATGGCAGTCTATATACGTTAGCCGAAACCCAGCAATTGTGGAGCAAGAAGTTAATCAAGTGGCTCTGGTCCTGGATCGAATTACGGTCTGGGAAAATAAATTTGAGTTTGAAGGGTTGTTGTGTTCCAAAGTTATTTTTCTCCAGGTATACTTGCTCTCCTCACTCATGCAGTGATAAAATACTACTTTAGGGGGTACTGTGTACAAATACATTAAATGTAAAGGTTGTTATCGTATTCAAGTGCTGGAACACTTTTGGAAATATCTTAATAGAAGTGAATATTTATCAAAAAGACGTTGAAAACCCAAAGTTTACAACGTAGACGATTCATACTCACTGCCATGCATAGTTCGTTGCTTAAAAGGTGGTTTTTACAAACTCCTGGATTATCATCACCGGACGTTTTCATGCAGCACTGGTTTTCCAGGCAGTCGGAATCACGGTTACACTGAAATACAGTAACATTATTTCATTTTTTATTTATTTATTTTTTCATTCTTCTTTTTTTTAAATAAATTCCTATTTAATTAACATTAACATTTTGAGAAACTAAAATTGTTACTCAAGCTAACGGAATACCCTGAAAATAGACCAAATGAGCCCTCATTGTCCCTTTAATATAATTTAAATGCTTGTAATCAAAACGAGTATATAGCAGTACAAATACCTGGTTAGCTTTTACAAATGACAGCCCACATAGCGAAAAGACAAGTGCAAGTACGACGAATTTCATGGTTGTGACCAGCTTATTTACTCTCCTGTTGCGAATTTCAAGCGTTCAGTTTCCCAGCTATAATAATACAGCTTGGAGGTCCATTTTATATAGGACTGTCTAAGTACCAATTAAGATGTCGACGATAACAAAAAAAAGGCGCTCAATGAGCGCATGTGCCTACTACGATTGTCTACATATTTTGAGCTATCCATTAAAATTAATCTGTGAAAATTTTAAATCAGCGTTTAGTTCCAGACTGTTGTTGCATTAATATATATATAGCTGAGATAATAAATCACAATAAAAAAGAGGAAGTGGATAATATCAAGGTAATACTATTTTATTGAATTTTCTTGCTAGTAACAATACAAAGAACATGTTATAAAAATACTAATAAAGGGTAAAAAAATATTGGTATAAAATAAAATGTAAATAATAGTTTAATATTACTGAGTATATTTTTAACAATGGAAGTTGTAATAA